GCTTATGTTCCCTCTCTCGCTGTGTCTCTCTCTATCAAATAAAATCTTTAAAAAAATAAAATTAAAAAAAATAAAATAGCAGTGAGAAATTATTGCTTTGGCAGTTTGGCAAGAAGTATCAAGAGCTTCAAAAACCAGTCACATCCTTTGGGTCTGCCATCCATTTGTGGCAGTGATCCTAAGGAGAAGACCCTAAATTCAAAAAAACTTGATGCAGGGAGACAGTCATCATGGTCTCACTCAGAACCACAGAGGATGGGAAGGACCTGAGTCGCAGCAGCAAAGCAGGAGGGTAAACACCTACTCACAGAGCAGCATGCCACCCTTTAAGATGTTCATGAAGAGTTTGTATGAACTTGGAGAGACCTGTCACACAGTAAATAGGGAGCAAAGATCCCAAATTGTGGTTTTTCAAAATACTTCTTTGACTTTCCTGTGTTTTCCAGTTTTTCTCTAATCAGTCTGTGTTACTCTGTAATTTTAGAAGTATAAAACATTTATATGCTGTCGTGGCATTTAAAATAACGACTCTGTGTTTCTGCAGATCCATTTGCTACAATTCCATGGAACCAAATACGCGGCCATTGACCCGTCGATGGTCAGCGCTGAGGAACTGGAGGTGCAGAAAGGCAGCCTCAGCATCAGTCAGGAGGAGCAGTAGCTGAGGCGTTGCCTGTTGATAACGAGCGGGCCAGAGAGTTCTTGTCCAGTCAGCAGCGTGAGCGCCCGCCCGGCGGCCCCTCTGCTCCGTTGTCGGGTTCACCGGTTATCACTGTGTTTGGAAGTAGGACTGATTGTCATCTCTGTGACAGGCGGCAGCTCTTCTGAACCAGTGTAACTGTTCCCCCTTCGGTTTTTTTTTAGCTTTCGAATTTGAGGAAGTACTTTTGAAGACTCCCATTTTAAGAATTGTGAAAATTTTGCTACCAAAAGTCTTCTCACCACTGTGTTCTTAAGAGAATGTTGATTTCTGAGGTTTGGGATTTTGTGGGTTTTTTTTTTTTTTCCTTTTCTTTCCTCCTTTCTTTCTTGTTACGTTATTTGCTGTAAATGCTGCACGTCCAGATTGTGTATCAGAAGGACATTGGTTATGTTGATGCTTTCTTGGTTGTAACTGTTACCAAGTGCCAAGGCTGTCTGTCACCCCACCGTTTGCTCTCCTGCAAAATCAACTACTTCTAATTTCTGGGTAAGCAGATCATTTTCAGTTTTATCTGTTGTCTTTCTAGCCATTACAGTCATTTGGAATAAAAACTCAATTTCAGTGAGTGGCTTTGGTGATTATTGTAGTTGCCCAACTGGGCTACATAGACATAGGACTTTCTGAGAAGCAGACCATGGTGTCGTTGGCCAATTCTTTGTGACATTAGGTAAGTTACTTAATCTCACTAAAGTGCAGTTTGCTCCTTGTAAAGTAACAGTAGCTCTTATTTATTGAGCTGTTAGTATGTGCCAGGCACTTTTCATACCTTCTTGTCTCCCCCTCAGTGGGAATATCTCTTAAATCTCTTTTAAACTGTAAATTCCTATTTTTTTTTTCTTGCCATTAATTTGTTGAAGAAACAGGCTCATTTGCTCTACAGAATTCCCCACAGTCTGGATTTGGCTGATTGCAGCCTCACAGTGTCCTTTAACTTGTTTCTGTGTCCCTGGTATTTCCCATAAACTGGTAGTTACATCTGGAGGTCAGTCAGGTTCAAATTCAGTCTCTTGGGTGAGAACACTTCATAGGCAGAGCTGTGTGCTTCCCACTGTGTCAGCTCGGGAGGCACGTAACATCTGGTTGTCCCTGAATCGTGAAGATGGCTGGGTGGGGTCAGGCACTGTCAGCCAGATCCAGCCAGTGCTGATCTCTGCACAGATGCACTGTGTCCTTAGAGGGTGCAGAGCAGTGACAGTAACTCTAATTTTTATCATTCCATTTATTAACTAGAGTTCTCTGATTTTTTTTTTTTTTAAGTCTTCCCCTCCCCAACTATTTGGTTTCTCTGAGGTACAGTTTAGACCAAAAAATCAGCATCAGTGCTTCTTTCCCTTTAAGTTTTCAGAACATTGAGTTAGCCATGCTCTTTCTGATTTCATCCCCACCACAGCCCTGATTAAGCTGATTTTACAGGGGAGGTCATGGAGGCTGGGAGCGGCCAAGAGGGGAAGGGCGGAGCTGGGATGCCAACTTGAGTCTGACCATCCCTAAAAGCAGCAGTGGTCTTTCCACATAGGCCAGTGTCTGCTCTGACTGCCTTGTGCCTCAAGAACAGTCGGGAGTTATGGAAACACCTGGAAGCCGTGAAGGTAGAGCTTAATGTTTTTAACTGTTAGCATCTGAGGCTACTTCCCAACCAATGGGGAGCTCCTGTGGGCTGGGCCGGGCTGCACATGGTCAGCAGCCCCTTCTTCACCTGGCACAGCAATGGACTGTGGGACTGCCTTCTGCTTTCTCTTCACATTCTCCCTGTGTGAGCCACTTCCCCCTGACAGCTTGAACTACTCCCTGGCTCTATGCCCCGATGACTGCCATTTCCAGCCCCGACTGATTTTTCAGCTGCCCTTGAATGCCTAACAGGCCTATCAGGCCAGCCTTCTACAGGCACACCTATGTCCCCACGGCCCAAACCTGCCCCTTCTCTCCTAAACCGTCATCTCTGTTCCCAGGATCACTGTTCCCCAGATTCCTCAGCTAGAAACTCAGCCATCTTGGACCCCACCCTCATCCCCACATCTCAGGCTGAAGCAGGTACCGAGATGAAACTTTGGGAGCAAGGTGGTTATTTAGGATCAAAGGAAAGAGGTTGTGGAAGGAAGCCGATTGGGCATGGGAGAAGCTGAGCTATGACAGGTCTGACCAAGCACCAGTGGACCACGTAGCGGGCTCTGGAGCTAGGAGTGCCCGTTGGAATAGTCTCATCGGAGGCTGCAAGAGCGAGGCCCTCCTGCCCCTCCAGCTCATCTCTCCTCCTCCTTGCATGCTTCCTGCGTTCCAATCACACCATTCCCCAAACAGATCCATCTCCACACCACTGTGCATTGCACAGACTGTGCTTTTTGCTTGGAATGTGCTTTCCCCACTTCTGTCTTCTCTCTGAGCTTCTCAGACCTTCCTTCCCTTCCTCTTTCCCTTCCTCCTTCCCTTCCCCAAGGAAGAACAAATCCCACAGTTCTCTGTACACACCCATCCTAGCACCAACCACATGACAGTACCTTATTGGTGTCCCAGTTCCTCCGCCCCCCAACATCACAAGCTCCCAGAGGGCAGGAACTGTGGCTACTCAGCTCTGTACCCCGGCTCCCAGCAGACTGCCTGGCACAGAAGACACTCAGGAAATACGGACTGGCCATGGTGAGTTGAGTGGTACGGTTACACAGAACCAATCCACAACAGCTTGTCTGACTTGAAATTTTGCCATACGTCTCCCAAACGAAACAAATATTGAATGCGAAAGATGAATTTCAACATTTCAATTTTATTTAAGAACTTGCTTTTTTTGTCTCAAAAAAAATACAAAATTAACTTTGCAGAATTCATCCAAATAAATGGTCTAAGTCCCATGTGGTACAAAATACATTTCCTAAATGGAATAAATGGAAGAGAAGTTCCTCCCCCCCTCCACAAAGCACGTGCAGGGGCGCCTGGGTGGCTCAGTCAGTTGAGCGTCCGACTCTTGATCTCAGCCCAGGTCTTGATCTCAGGTCATGACTTCAAGCCCCACTCTGGGCATGGAGCCTACTTAAGAAAATGAAAAACAAAAAACACAAAACCACAGCATGTGCAGAGAAAGGGCACGGAGGTCCGTGTGCTGCACTGGGGGTCTGAATCTGGCTGTGAACGCTGAGGCCTCAGGCCTACCTACAGGTTATGCCTGTAAAACAGGTTCGTTTCAAAGCCTCCTTTTCTTTCTTTTCATAAGTTCTAGGTGGTTTCTAAAAATTATTAATAGGAACAGTTAAAAAAAAAACCTCTGAGCAGATAGCACAGAGTTCTCGTGCACCCCTCTGCACCCCTCTGCACGACACGGTTTCTGCTACATTTATTTGCATTCGTATTAGTATGGCGTTTGCAGGTTTATCTGCAGGATAAATTCCTCCTGGTGGGACTGCTGGGTCAGAGGGCAAATGCATTTGTTATTTGGGCAGACGGAATGGCAGCTGCCTTTCAGAGGACTGCAGCACCGTCAGCTCCCCCCGGCCCTGTGTGATGGCTGAAGCCCCTTTCAGCTCTAACAGCTTTTATACTGTCCGCCTCCCAGGACTCAGGCCCAGCGGGTAACTCTGTAGGGAGTTTTTCTAAGACGTGGGCTCCTAAACTGGCCAGAGAGCTGTGCCACATGTGGGAGAGCTCAAATTAGAGCCTGGGGGCAGAACTTCCAGGCTATTATCCTGCGCAGATAGCCACCACATCTGTGAAACCACGGGGAAGCTTCCAGAGTCGCAGCTTCCTGGAGACACGCTCTCGCCAGTGCAGCCGAGCCCCGGAGCAGCCCGTGCTGACCTAGCACCCGAAAGCAAAGCTCCACACCAGCTGAGCAGCCCAGTATGCTTGCCCCTTGCCACAGATGCCTATTTAACTTTTTTTTTCTTTTTAAAGATTTTATTTACTTATTTGACAGAGACACAGCGAGAGAGGGAACACAAGCAGGGGGAGTGGGAGAGGGAGGAGCAGGCTTCCCGCTGAGCAGGGAGCCCAATGCGGGGCTCGATCCCAGGACCCTGGGACCATGACCTGAGCCGAAGGCAGACGCTTAATGACTGAGCCACCCAGGCGCCCCAACTTATTTAAATTTCTAATCATTCAAATTAAACTACACATTTGGTTCCTCGGTCCCACTAGCCACACTTCAAGTACCCAGCAGCCACAGGTGGCTAGGGGTAAATGTATTGGATAGCACAGATCTGGAACATTCCCGTCACCACAGAAAGTTCTGTCAGATGGTGCTGTTCTGGAGAGGTGACCCTCTGTATGGGGCTAGTAAAACGAAGAATGACAACTAAATGTAAGGTGTGTGGTCCTGGACTGGATCCTGGTCCAGAAAAAGGACTCGGATGAACGGCTCAACTGACAAAATCGGAATCAGGTCTGAAGAGCAGTTAAGAGTACGGTATCAGTGTTAACTTCCTGGTTTTGAAAATTAGGCTGTGATTGTGTAAGATGTTAGTATTTGGGGAAGCTGTATGGTGAAGCGTATTCAGAAATTCTTTGTACTGGTTCCGCAATGTTTAAGTCTGAAAGGATTTCAAAATAAAATTTTTAAAATTGAAAAAAAAAATATCCTAAAACAAGAGAGAAAAAAAGAGTGTGTGCCTCCTGGAACTGTCACGGCATACAAATAAGCTTGGGGACAGAAAGAGCTGTGGAGTGAGCGCAGCGTTCATTAAAAGCCAGTGAGTGGGTGACGGGCGGGCGGTTTTGTCAGTGCCGGCTGGAGAGACAGGAATGCGGGGTTTGGCACCTGACCGCAACAGCTGATTGGCTGCTTTATCCTTCCCGGGCCTCAGCGTCCTCTTTGAAGAGATGCCCCTTGCATCTCAGGGGACTGCTGTGAGGCTCCGAGAGCTGTAAAGGACCCCACCTGTGGGAAGGGATTACCTGCAAAACCCGGACCGGCCCCTGGACCGGCCCTTGGGGAAGAGACCGCAAGCAGCGGGAGGTCTGTTACGGCGATTTTTTTTTTTTAAAAAGCCCTTAAGTGGTGGTCGTCTTCTGTTCAGTGGCCCCCACTCTGAGGCCCCATGCCCCTGAAGGTCTGGCCCCTCTGGTTACATGGCCGTGCACCTGCTGGGGGCCCTCGGGTCAGCATTTGCTTTCTTCCTGACGCTTTCTGCAAGAGAGAAGAATCCTATTGCTTCGTGTTGCCGCGGCTCTGCCTCACCGGGCTGGTTTTTTGTTTTAATTGCCTGCCAGTGTTTGTGCTAGAAGAAGATAGAATGATATTTAAGACCATTTTGGAAAAAGAAAAAAGTCCCTGATTCCTCCCCTGTGAAATGAGTGTTTTCCCACCTTCCCTGCAGCAGCTGTGAGTTCCCCACCACACAGGGGCTCGCCTTTCTCCTCTCTAGGACATGCTAGCCACGTTTTCACGGTTAGTGCCACAGAGCCTTCGTTACTACTGCTGACCGCCTGAGACCCTGTCCTGTGCCGCATAATGCACCACGCCAGTGGACGTCACAGTATTTAAGCCTCTTTCAGCATGAGCTGATTTTGTTTTTAATGAGGGAATCGTACTGAACGTTTTATCTCGCTTGCCTGATAGTTCCACAGGGTGCTCAGAATCTCAAACGAGGCTTTTGGAATGGACAGACTCAAAAGGTTGTGATGGCCTCAGAAATGTGATTTATTTGCCAGATCGAACTGGTTCAACTCCTATTAAGCCAGTTCTAGCCCATATGTCTTACTGTTTGTGGAAAAGAAGTCTGCAGGCTGTTCCAGCCTTATTCCAAGCTAGGAAAAAAAAAAAAAAAAAGAAGAAGAATCAAAGTATAGAGGACCAGCAAGGAGAAGACGCCAGCATCAGTGGCTTTGCGGCTGTGAAGGCTGCAGGATCACCTGAGCCAGCACCCTCAGGGCACAGGTGGGGAAACGGGGGCCAGGAGGCACTGGTTTGCCCAGGGCTCTGCCCAAATTCCAGTAGACAAGGCTAGGACCAGGAACCTGGAAGGTTCAGAGCCAGCACCACAGCATTGTGGTCTGAGCAGACCTTCGGGGGCTCTGTCACATTCCAGGGGGGCCAGTGCTGCCCTGAGCAGGGGACACTTACCAGCTAGGTCCCTCCTGTCAATGGCCACGAGGCTCTCAAACAGTGCTTTGCTGGGGTTCTCACCGGCTGTGGCCACACCATGCAGCCAGATGAGCAGCATCCGGTGGCCGTGCTCCTGGTAGCTCTTGGTGCCTGAGGACCACGAGGGGAGAAAGGCAAGGAGCCAACCGAGCCCACCTTGGCAGAGTCAGCTCTAAGCTGCCCTGCACCACCTCCTGCACATGCCCAGGTGGGAAAGAGCCAGGCCCTTCTCCAAGGTGCTGTGGAGCTCAGCCCAGAGATAGGGAGAGGAGGGAAGGGACAGGCTCGGATGGGGTTGGGGTGGAGGTTTTGTGTTGGGGACTCTAGAACTTCCCCTGCCCCAGGCTTTCTCCTGAGCATCCACCATGCATCCTGTTGGTGTTGCTCTGAAGACAGAATTGGCACTCATTGTTGTGATCCCATGTCGCACAGGACTATTCCCTGCATCTCTGGCTACTCACAATAATCTGTGCCTTGCCCGCTAGTGGTCCTATTTTACAGATGAGAAAACCGGCTTAGTGCACGACAGAAGTGGTCATGTTCTTTCCCCTGCGCCGGTGGTTCTCAGCTGTAAGTGCTCACTGGAAACCCCCGGGAAGCCGTCCAAAAAATACTGACACCTGGGTCCCATTCCCTCCCTAGAGATTCCAACCTACTTGGGTCTGGGCGCAGCCTGCGCACTGAGCGGTGTTAAGGCTTCCCAGGTGATTCCAACGTATGGCCATGATCTTCAGTGTGGGAGGAGGGGTGAACTTGTTACTACACTCCTAGGTAGGTCTCCTCTCCCAGCCACTGGGGCCAGGTCAGTCCATGCGCTGCGTCCTCTGACTTTCTGGCCCCCTCTGGGCCCTCAGCAGGCACTTCCTCATGGGGCTGCCCTTGGCAGAGCGGTTTCATTTGGCCCATTTATTCACTGTCCCTTGCCTCCAGCCCCGTAATTTACCCGTGCTCCTTTGTCCTCTCTGAAAGTTCTTATCTGACACAGAGGTTACGTTTGGAGTCCCTGCTCTATTCCACTAACTGGTGTACATATTTTTCTGCCAGGTATCTCTCTATGCTAATTATTTGAGCTTTATAAAAGGTTGAGTCTGGTTGGATTAGATCCTCTTCACTTTCCCCCGCAGAATATTCATTTAAATAGTCCCCCTTTGGGGTGCCTGGGTGGCTCAGTCAGTTAAGTGGCTGCCTTCAGCTCAGGTCATGGTCCGGGGCCCTGGGATCGAGTCCAACATCAGGCTCCCTGCTCAGTGAGGAGTCTGCTTCTTCCTCTCCCTCTGCCCCCCAACCCCAGCTCATGCTGTCTCTCTCGTGCTCTCTCATATGCGCTCTCTCTCAAGTAAATAAAATCTTTAAACATTCCCTCTTTATTCTTTCAAGTGAACTCTAGAATCCTTTAGTCAAGTTTCAAAAATCTGTTTTGATTTGATTAAAACTGAACCAGGGGCACCTGGGGTGGCTCAGTCAGTTAAGCATCCAACTCTTGGTTTCGGCTCAGGTCATGATCTCAGGGTCATGATCTTGGGGTTGTAGGATCGAGCCCAACATTGGGCTCCGAGCTCAGTGAGGAGTCTACTTGGGATTCTCTCTCCCTCTCACCCTGCCTGCCACTTGTTCTCTCTCTCTAAAATAAATCTTTTTTTTTTTGAAGATTTTATTTATTTATTTGACAGAGAGACAACAAGAGAGAGAACACAGCAGGGGGGAGTAGGAGAGGGAGAAGCAGGCTTCCCGCCGAGCAGAGAGCCCGATGCAGGGCTCGATCCCAGGACCCTGGGATCATGACCTGAGCTGAAGGCAGACGCTTAATGACTGAGGCACCCAGGCGCCCCCTTAAATAAAATAAATAAATAAATCTTTAAAAAAAATCAAATTTTTAAACTAGTTTGGGAAAAATCAATGTCTACCTGACACTTTTTCTAGCCAGGAAGATAGAATGTCATTCCACCTACCCGTCTTTTTTTTAGAGTTGAATTTTTATTTTATTCATATGCCATTCATATTTTTTAGAAACTATTGCAAATGGAATAGTTTTTCAAAAAGCTATTGATGGTACACAAGAATACCATGGTATCTGTATATTTTATCATATTTAGCCATTTCACTGAATTATTGAGTTTTTCAGTTGATTCTTCTGGACTTCCTGTGTATAGGATTATAGCATCTGAAGTTAATAAATCTCTCTCTTCCTTTCTAATATTTACAGTCCTTATTTCTGTTTCTGTTTTCTGCCTTAGTACCAGGGACCTTTTTTTTTTTTAATTTTATTTATTTGAGAGGAGAGAGAGAGAGCATAAGCATGGGGGGTGGGGGGCAGAGGGAGAGAGTGAAGCAGATTCCCCGCAAGCAGGGAGCCCAATGCGAGCCTCGATCCCAGATCCCACCCTGGGACCATGACCTGAGCTGAAGGCAGATGCTTAACCGACGGGGCCAACATTTCCAAGCAGATACTAAATAATGGTGGCAATAGATGGTCCTCTCCTTTTTATAGAGAGTGCCTTTAGTTTGGTGTGTGAATGATTGGTATCAGCTTGGGCTAATTCATGAAGAATGTGAAGTTTACAGGTCAATGGGGAGGGAGAGGCAGAGGGCACGGCCTGAGCAAAGGCCTGGAAGGATGGAGAGGCATATGGGATGTTGGCGATGGCATGTGGCTTGCTGTGATCAGGCTGTGGGTTGCAGGGCTTTCCCCCCAGAAACACAGAAAGCCTAATATACAGTGCCCCCACCTCTCCACCCACTGGTTGCTCTGGGGTGGGGAGAGGCAGGGCGGTACCTGTCCACTGCTGCTCGATGGCGTGGACGTGGGCCTCAGTGAACTCCCAACAATATGCGAGCTTCTTCCACTCATGAGGCCGCAGGTCCCTGGAGGCCAGTCGCCACAGCACACAGGAGAATTGCCGCCCTTCCTGCCGATGGTCCTGCCTAAAGGTCAAGTTCTTCCCACAGCAATCCCTGGGGTCCCTGCGCCAGAGGTGGTCCTGTGGAACAGATCCCCAAAATGCAGCTGCCGCCTGGGGGGAAATCCCTGCCAGGCTCTCCCTTGGGAGTCTGGATGGGGCTCTGGCAGGCATCCAGGCCTGGGGCTTCATGTCTGCTACTCTGGTTTCTCACTCTGTGCCTTGCTTGGACTTCCGGAACCCCAGCAGCTCACACTCCATCCAGATTGCCTTTTCTCACCTGCCTGTCCCTCAACCCCATTGCCACAGTCCAAAGATCACCCACAGGCCACCTCTTCCAGGAAGGCTTCCCAATTCCTCTCTTTTCTCTGTGTTCTTACAGCGCAAGTGTCAGCAGAAGGACTCCGGCTCTGGCTAACACCAGTCAAGCCAAGGATCAGGCACTAACTAGATTTGCTGAATCCCAACAAGTAGTGAAGGGCAGGATTACAGAATTTCTATGCAAAGCAGGTGATAAAATGAGAAGTTACAAAAGAATTATGTGATAGCATAAGTTAAACCCACAAAAGCCTAAGTAAGCCCCTCTAAAGAATGTGGATACAGAGTTCTGGTTCTTAAAAAAGCTCGGGTGAGTTCTGGCATCCGCAGCTGCAAATCTTACATCCTGGTCAACAGTGTCTGGCTGATCACCTGTGACGTGATGACCAGGGAGACTGGCTCTCACCTGGGGAGGTTCCCCAACAGTGTTCCCAGCTGCATCTGTATATTGGGATCATCTGGGAGCTTTAAGAACCACCGATGCTTGGGGCACCTGGCTGGCTCAGTTGGTAGAGCATGAGACTCTTGATCTTGGGGGTGTGAGTTTGAGCCCCTCATTGGGTGTAGAGATTAATTTAAAAAATAAAATCTTAAAAAAAAATCTTTAAAAATAGAATCTTTAAGGCACCTCGGTGGCTCAGTTGGTTAAGCCTCTGCCTTTGGCTCAGGTCATGATCTCAGGGTCCTAGGATCGAGCCCCACATCGGGCTCCCTGCTCGGCGGGGAGCCTGCTTCTCCCTCTCCCTCTGCCTGCCTCTCTGCCTACTTGTTCTCTCTCTATCTCTCTGTCAAATAAATAAAATCTTTAAAAAAAAATTAGAAACAATCAGGGTGCCTGGGTGGCTCAGGTGGTTAAGTGTCTGCCTTCGGCTCAGGTCATGATCCCGGGGTCCTGGGATCCAGCCCGCATCTGGCTCCCTGCTTAGCAGGGAGCCTGCTTCTCCCTCTGCCTCTGCCTCTTTCTCTGTCTCATGAATAAATAAATAAAATCTTAAAAAAAAAAAAAGAATCAGAAGCACCTGGGTGGTGTGGGTGGTGCAGTCAGTTGAGCTTCCACCTCTTGGTTTGTTTGTTTTTTATTTTATTTTATTTTATTTATTTGACAGAGAGAGACACAGCGATAGAGGGAACACAAGCAGGGGGAGTGGGGGAGGGAGAAGCAGGCTCCTCACTGAGCAGGGAGCCCCGACATGGGGCTCGATCCCAGGGCCCTGGGATTATGACCTGAGCTGAAGGCAGACACTTAACGACTGAGCCACCCAGGTGTCCCCCAACTGTTGATTTTGGCTCAGGTCATGATCCCAGGATTGTGAGATAAATAAATAAATAGATAAATAAATAAATAGATAAATAAATAGATAAATCTTTATAAATAAAATTAGAAACAATCACCTTTGCAAAAGAAAAGAATGGAATGAACTCTGAATTCAGCTATTTCTATTACTCTGAATTATTGTTTAGCTTTGTTTAAGGTACAGTCATGCTCTTACAGTTTCTCTTCAGTGCCTGTATAACTAATACAGAGTTCTGCTTGTTCCACTTATTATTTTGTGTAAACAGTGCTATCTATTGATTGTCACAGTTTCTTTGGGCATTTGGCTTCCCCCAATTTTTCATCATGTTCTACTGTAATTCTTTGTACAAATTACTTTTTTTCCTTCCCTTTCTGGGTTATTTCCTTGAGATGTGGCTCCAAAAATAGAGGGAATAGAGCATTTAGTCTGTCAGCAGACGTTTTGCACATCATGACACGTTAACAGTAGTCAGCTTCCAGAATGATGGAAATGGTGGAACGCTCTGTGGGGCAGCCAGTGGGGTGCTTGTTTCCTTTGAGCCATCCTCTCATTGAAGATACCATTTTAAGTAGTTCGATCAGTATCTAATAGTACCTTAAAGCTGACTTAATGTGGTTTCTTTCATTGCTAGCGAGGCTAGGCCCTACCCTAAAATATAGGGTAAACATGAGTAAACATACCTGTATGATCAAGCTGATTTTCACAGAATGCTATAGGTAAACATTGTTTCCATGGTTTTCACATCTCTTTAAAATTGTAGGGGCACTTGGCTGGCTCATTTGATAAACCGTGCGACTCTTTATTTCTGGGTCATGAGTTTGAGCCCCACATTGGGCGTATAGCTTACTTAAAAAAAAAAAAATTGTACTCTGTTCTTTTTAAACGCTTCTCCTGATGTTCTCTCAGTAGTTTGCTGAGCAATTGTGCAACAATACATTAGCTACAAATAGTTCATGTCCAGACAAGGCACTAAAGCTCATTGATTATTTTTGATGATTTTAATGTTGTTTTAATTGTCAGAAGCCAAGACTGCTCCTACTTTGTGCTCCTCCTGCATGTGAGCTGCATTTTCCCAGTTATCTGAGTGCTTGCTACATGCCACACATTGAGGCTGCAGGGGCAGGCAAAGCCAGCGGGGTCTGCCTGTTGGCTACAGAGGGTACCTCGGCGGCATCGCCTTGAGAAGATAGGGAAGCTGTAGGGGGCGGGATGGAGAAAAGTAATGAAAGGTGACCAGCTGTCCTTGTGAGGGAAGCTCAACTTCCAACAAACATTCCGTGGAGAAGGTAGTCTGCTCCTTTTATAAGTCATTTTCAGCATAGGTTTAGAGAAAGTAGTTTTTACCCTACATAATGGCTCTCAACATTTGTAATGAATGGAATAAATACCAACTAAAAATCACATATAGAAATTCATAGATTGAATTGCTTTGAATTAGCCCAGTTGAATCTACTAGTAGCAAACTTTGGGAGGTACGATAACTCTTTCATTTTGCTGTTTTGAAATATCAGTCATTCAAAGGTGATACAAACCTGAAGGTTGACAACATCTTAAGTTTTCAGTTTTCCTTCTTTTTTTAAGATTTATTTACTTATTTTAGAGGGCAGGGAGGGGGAGAGGGAGAAGGAGAATCTCCAGCAGACTCCCTGCTGAGCACAGAGCCCAAGGCGGGGCTGGATCCCACAACCCTGAGATCGTGACCTGAGCCAAAATCAAGAGCCGGCCACTTAACTGACTGAGCCACACAGGTGCCCCAAGTTTTCAGTTTTCTAAAGGAAATAGTTTAGCCATTGGAAATAAGGCCAATTGGGGCGCCTGGGTGGCTCAGTCGTTAAGCGTCTGCCTTCGGCTCAGATCGTGATCCCACGGTCCTGGGATCGAGCCCCAAATCAGGCTCCCTGCTCGGCAGGAAGCCTGCTTCTCCCTCTCCCCCTCCCCCCTCTCATGTGTTCTCTCTCTCTGTAAAATAAATAATTTTTAAAAAAAAATAAATAAAAAACAAAACTACCAATGCTTGGATCCGTACACCAGAGATTTGGATTGAATTAGCCTGGGGATGGGAGGGAGGTTTGCGATTCTAACTGCGCCGCTGCCTTAGCGTTGAGAACTTTTAAAGTCTGAGGTGTTAGAATTAAGCACAGAGATGAATCAGTTCATCAAATTCTTGGTATTAATATTTTGGGGTTACATTTAGGAGTAACCTGTTGTATGCAAAGGAGCTGTAATGTTTCTGCGAATCTAGCATGTCTGTGAAAGAGAAGATCTTATGATTCCTATTGAAATTTGTAATTAATCAATTGATTTTGAAATAGTGATTTTTTTGAGCGGTACTAGAGAAGCTTACTAAGTTTGCAAACAATATTGGAATGTTTAAGATATTTGAGATTCACTTTATAGGTTTAATTTACCGGATTTTACTAGGATAGTTTAAGAATTTAGGGGGCACCTGGGTGGCTCATTCAGTTAAGCGTCCAACTGTTGACTTGGGCTCAAGTCATGATCTTAGGGTTGTGGGATCGAGCCCAGTGGCCTGCTTGAGATTCTCTCTCTTCCTCTCCCTCTGCCCCCACCTCCCTCTTTAAAAAAAAAAAAAAGGAAGGAAAGTGCTTAAAAAAAACTATCAAATTTAATTATTCAGTTTAAAATGTTTAAGATAGTTTAAACATGGGTCCAAACATTAATTAAAAGGCTTCCTTGAAAGTGGAAATTCCTAAGATTCCTAAAAAAATACCAGTTGTCTAAATGGGATAAGGTTTATAAAATGAATTTATAAGTTTAAGGAAAACTAGGTGGTTTTTTTTAAAGATTTTATTTATTTAAGAGAGTGAGCAAGAGAGAGAGAGAGCACATGCACGAGCAGGGGCAGAGGGAGAGGGAGAAGCAGACTCCCCACTGAGCAGGGAGCCTGATGCGGGGTTCAATCCCAGGACCCTAGGATCATGGATCGTGACCCCAGCGGAAGGCAGACACTTAACCGACTGAGCCACCCAGGTGCCCCAAGGAAAAGTAGGTTTTAAAATTTGTAAAGATTATTTTTAAAACTGAAGTAAATGCAAAAATTATTTTCTGTGTATAAAAACAACCTCAAAGACATCAAAAAACTCCCCACCCGACCCCCATTTGCTGACGATTGGAATAGTATGGCCTTACATCTGCTTCTCTTCCTCCCCAATTCCTCAGCAAGCATCACTAATCAATCCCAGCACACTTCCCTTCTGGGCTCAGAAAGTTGCCTGAATACAACACCCCCAGCAGCAATTCCAGTCACCTGGAGACGGCAGTAAGCTGAAACCAACTTGCCATCTCTTTCTTCATGCACGCAGACATGCGCCCATGCATCCATCAACCAGGAGCTCTAACAGCATCCCGTACTATGTCCACAATGGCATGGACTCCGGGCTGCCTTGTTGCAGTGTGGCTGGGTGCTCACTCATCTCTAGATGCTCACAGACAAGCCTCGTGGTAGGTAAGGCACGGATTATCACTCCGTTGGAAACTGGGCGGGGCTGAATTGGTCAGGGCTGGGGTTCAAAGCCAGCCCCACCCCTAGCCAAGGCCGCTGCCTCTGCAACACGGACAGACCTCGTGCAGGGTTGTCAGTACCTTCTCCCACGTGTAGAGGCGATCAGCCTTTATGATCATGTCCACCAGGCTGATGTGGTTGCTGCGAGCGGCCACCGCCAGGGCAGTTTTCCCTTGCTGCAAGGAAGAAGTAAGAAGGGTGGCCTCTAGCATCAGCTGCAAACGCTCCTGCCCCCAAGAAAGCGGTTTCCAGCAGTCTACATTGGAGAGCAGAAAGGTTTTCTGGGCATGACGAGGGGCGTGGGAGGCACAGGTAGAATGAGGCAATAATTCCAGCAACCGCCTCTTGTTTAGAATTTAGGAAGTCTTAGAGCGTATGAAGCCCAGCCTGCATAACTCAACAACACCTGTGAAATAGCAAGACATGGCCTGCTTCTCAGATGAAACCAGAGCCCAGAGAAGGGGACTGGGTTCATCAGGTCATGTCTGCCCACCCCACCCAGGCCCTTTGCTCCAGGCCTCCCGCACAGGGCTGGCCTTAATCCCCAGGCACGTGCAGGGAGTTAGGAAGTTCCTCTTTGCACCTGGCCGGCTGCCCTGGGGCCCAGGTCAAGGCAGGGAGCCCCTCCCAGGTCTAGTCTCAGGGCCTATTCCTGCCCTCAACTCTTCCGCACACCATCCCAAGGACTGGGCCACATGTCCAAGCCCCTTCCCCTCATGAGCCTGTGACCTCCTTAGCCTTATTCCAAGTCCTCAGGTCATCTGGACTCTCCGGCCACCTGAGGGAGTAGCCATCCCAGAGGCACAAAGAGCCGGGAAGCTTCCCCACCCCTGACCCACAAGTAGGGGGCTGTGGGACAGTAATGTACCGCTCCTCGACTCCTTCTCCCCCTGGCCACCTGGCGACTCAAGGAGCTCAAAGTCTGAGGGACCATGAAACAGAAGGCAACCACCTCACAGTTCTAGACCAGCAGGAGGGCAGGCCAAGTCCTAAGGGACCTGAGGGGAGGAAGGGGAAGGTGATGGAGGGGCAGGAAGGCTTCCTGGTGGAGGCTGCATCTGAGCTAGTATACAAAGGCTGGGAAGCCTTGAACAGTCTGAGAGCAGGAGACTTGTAGTAGGGTCTCTGGCAAAGAGGGAGCCATGAAAACTTGAAAGGGAGGCTGGTTGGGAGGTACCTTATCTCTCAGGTTTAAGTTAACCCCCGCGATGAGGAGCATCTCCGCTATGTCCTGCCTGGCGTGCTCAGCAGCAAGGTGGAGGGGTGTCTGCTGCCTCTGGGGAAGAAGCCAAGGGGTCAGGGGAGTAGAAAAGCATGTACAAGTATCCCAAGGCTCAAAGCCAGGACAGGTCCAAGGTGGGTCCACTCCTAACTGGGCCTTAACAAGTTTATCTAAAAGTTATGGAAGAGAGTAAGCTGGGTTTAGTCATAAACACAATACCAGAGAAAACTTGGTAAAAACAAAAAAGCAGAAAGAACAAAGGAAAAAATACCACTTGCTAGCTAAGTCAACCTCTGTAACAATCCTAATATATTTCTTCTAGTCATTAATGTAGAGTGCTTTTGATTTGTTGGTTTTACAGGAGATCATCCCATATATACATTTTGCATCCATTTTTTCTACCTAACATGTCCATATATTATGACAAACACCATTTTTCACAGCTCCATAGTAATCTACGTCTAGCCCATAAGCTACCTGATCACTTCTTTATTATTAAATATTTGGGCCATTTGCAAATTGAAGATTGATAAGCAATGCTGCAATAAATATCTTTGTGCATGAGCTTTTAATGTATTTCTTGAGGCTCAATTCATTAAAGTGCAAAGTGATCATTTTGAAGGTATATGCTGTATCCTGCCAAGTTGCTTTCCACCACTCGTGGTTGTAGGTACGGGCACTGAGGGCTCTGTGGTCAGGGGGAGGACTGTGGGGATGGGGAATTCAAAGGGCTCCTGACTGAGCACAACTGCAGGACTCAGAGGCCTCTTGTGACACAAGACTGCCCCACTCACCCCTGTCCTGGGAATTTTCCTAAAGGAAAAGAAAAATCAATGAAAGGAAACGGTGGAATGTAGGAAGATGTTTACTGCAGTGTTATCCGGACCATGGTAACAACCTGGAAACCACCAAAATGTTCAAAATAGAGGAAGGGTTGATAAAACGATGTTACCTTCAACGAATATTCACACAGCTTTTTTATAAACTAAAAAAGTAATTTCTCAACTCTGAGCCATGCTAGGAGATGGCAGCCAAGCCCTGCCAGCCTGGGAGGGTGCCCAGAGGTTCCCTGGGGCCCAGACGGTTTCTGCAACCACTTACATTGTCGGTGGCATCCAGGTCACTGCCGGCGTTGATGAGAAGCTGGACCAAGGCAGGGAAGTGGTGCTTCACAGCCAGGTGCAGAGGAGAGGCGCCCTGCTGGGGGAGGAGATACATGGATCATTCACTGGGTCCCTCCCAGGACTGCCCAGAACAGGTTGGTAGGTTGGTGCTGGGGGATGGACGTAGGGAGGTGTATGGAGATATAGTGCTTCTAGGTTTGGCCCTTTTCCTTTTTTTAAGATTTTATTTCTTTATTTGAGAGAGAGAGAGAGCACAAGCAGGGGGAGCGGCAGGCAGAGGGAGAGGGAGAAGCAGGCTCCCCGCTGAGCAGGGAGCGCGATGCGGGGCTCGATCCCAGGACCCTGGGATCATGACCCGAGCCTTCTGCCTTCGGGTCATGATTTAAGTGTCAGTTAGACACTTAACTGACTGAGCCACCCAGGCGCCCCAAGTTTGGCCCTTCTTGCTCTTCAGAGGACATGGGTGGCTCGAGGAATCTATAACCCCGAAGGCTGAAACCCTGGAGTTTCTGTATCCTCAAGGTGGTTGGAAGCCTGAGACCCAAGTTTGAGACCTTGCTATGCCAGGAACTATGTGACTGTGGGCAAGACTGTGGGCTACTCTTCATCTAATAAGTGATGTTTCCTGAGGTCCCTTCTAGCAACACTTTAAAATTCTCTAATATCTCATTGAATCCACACATGAACCTAGGTAGGGTATATAGGAATGGTGTTATTAGTATTTTCATCTTACAAACAGGAACACTGAGGTTCAGAAGACAAAAGGGACTTGCCCGATAGCTAATAAGAACCTTGTGTTATTGGGAGTTTCTCCCCTGAGCACCTAGGTAGGTGCCTGATTACTGTTTATGCATGAAAAGAATAAATGAGAATCAGCCGGGACCAGAACAGAGACCTCACAAGTCCAACACACAACCAAGGCCTCGCTCAAGGCTGGAAGACTCCTTCATCAATGGTCCCCTCATAAACCCCCTTGGCCACCTGACAAAGTGGAGATACTGCTACAGCATCCTTCTCACTTGGTGATACAGTGACACATATATAGTGGAATAGTACAAAGTCAATAAAATCAATGGTGGAAAAACACCCTCATATATTGAGTATAAAAAGATTACAGAATACACACAACAAAAATGTCTTCTACCAATGTCTATTAGTTTGGGCCAGAAAATTTAAAAAATAAATAAAAAGGTTTATGATATTGGAAAAGAAGATTTGAACTATATGATTATTTGTAGGCAATGTGATCGTATATCTAGACAGGTTAAAAAAGTTATTACCCCCCCCAAAAAAACCCTAGTAAAATTAATTAAAAGTCATATAGAAGATAAAACCCAAGTCAATAGCATTGTTGTTTTGAATGTCCACAAGAAATGACGTATTTTTTATTTTATTTTTTTTTTAAAGATTTTTATTTATTTGACAGAGAGAGAGACAGCGAGAGAGGGAACACAAGCAGGGGGAGTGGGAGAGGGAGAAGCAGGCTTCCTGCCGAGCAGGGAGCCCGATGTGGGACTCGATCCCGGGACACGGGGATCATGACCTGAGCCGAAGGCAGATGCTTAATGACTGAGCCACCCAGGTGCCCCAAAATGACATATTTTTTAAAAGATATCCTCTTCATGACAGTCAAAATTATAAAGTATCTATGAAGCGTATAATTGTTAATGGACATATCAAAGGCAAACTAAAAGCCATATAATATCACTGAGGGATGGAAAAGAAGACAAAGAAATAGACTTCATGCTCCTAGTGAAAAATTAGTATAAAGATGACCATTTTCGGGCGCCTGGGTGGCTCAGTTGGTTAAGCGACTGCCTTCGGCTCAGGTCATGATCCTGGAGTCCCAGGATCGAGTCCCATATCGGGCTCCCTGCTCAGTGGGGGGTCTGCTTCTCCCTCTGACTCTCTTCCCTCTCGTGCTCTCTGTCTCTCATTCTCTCTCTCAAATAAATAAATAAAATCTTTAAAAAAAAAAAAAAAAGATGACCATTTTCTCCTACATTATTTACAAGTTTAATGTAATCCCAAACCCAAATTTCTATAAATGCCAAAAAGGATTCTGAAACACATCTAGAAAAAAATTTTTAAACCCAGGGAAAACTACCCTAAGAATTTCAACAGAGTCCTCAGATCAGTGCTGGACGACTGTGAAATCAAAATCCGGCCAGGAAAAGGTGTGCTTTGCCAGTGAATGGGGAGAGACTGAAAATGGCTCAAACGCATGACTCAGGTGAGCCTGGAAACTTGTCAGAACTACAAGGACCGTCTTTCCAGAAAGAAAGCAGCAGGCTATGGAGATAAAATAAGCGAACACGCTGGATCTAGCCTCGGTCGTCCTGGAAACACATCTGGGGGAATGTGGTCAGAAAGGGGAGTGGAAAGAGAGCAAGTATGGCTTTTAGTTGTTTTACATTTTATTTATAAAAACCAAAAGAACCAAAAAGTACACAAGGTACCTAGTGAAAAGCCTTCTTCCACCCCCATCACCCATCTGCTCATATTCCCCACTGCTAAACCCCACTGGTAATCTTTTTTTTTTAAGATTTTATTTATTTATTTATTTATTTATTTATTTATTTATTTATTTATTTGTCAGAGAGAGAGAATAAGCAGCGGGAGTGGCAGGCAGAGGGAGAAGCAGGCTCCCCGCTGAGCAGGGGGGCCCCGATGTGGGACTCAATCCCAGGACCCTGGGATCAGGACCTGAGCCAAAGGCAGAGGCTTAACCAACTGAGCCACCCAGGTGCTGCCCACCCCACCTCCCCACCACTGACACTGGTAATCTTGACTGTTGCTATTATGTGTATCCTTCCAGAGATGCTTAAATTTTTTTTTTAAAGAAGAACCTTAAATTAAAGTTTTATTTTGAGGTAATTATAGACTCACATGCAGTTAAAAAATAATGCAGAGAGCTCTGGTGTATCCTTTACCCACTTCCCCCCACGGGTAACATCTTACAAAACCCTGGTACAGGGGCACCTGGGTGGTGCAGTAGGTGAAGCATCCCACTCTTGATTTCTGCTCAGGTCATGATCTCAGGATCCTGGGATCGAGCCCCGAGTTGGGCTCCATGCTCAGTGCAGAGTTTGCTTCTCTCTCCCCCCTCTGTCCCTCTCCCCTGCAGGCTCGCCCTATCTCTCTCTCTAAAATAAAATAAATAAATCTTAAAAACAACAACAACCCTGGTACAATATCCCAAGCAGGATAATGACTCTGATAACATCCACTGTCTTATCCCGATCCCCCCAGCTTCACTTGTCGTCGTTTGTACACGTGTGTGTTTAGTTCTATGCCATTTTATCACATGTGCATGTTCATATGCCCACTGCACAGCAAAGATACAGAACCGTTCCCTCACGAGGATCCCTTGTGTTGTTTTTTTATAATTCTCTCCTCTCTCCACGTCCCTATCACTAACCCCCAGCAAACACTAATCTGCTCTCCCTCTCTATTGTGTCATTTCGAGAATGTTCTATAAGCAGAACCATACAATATGTAACTTCACAGACTGGTTTTTTCACTCAACATTATTCCCTTGAGATTCATCCAAGTTGTTGCACGCACCAGTAGTTTCTTCTCATTGCTGAGTTGTATGAGTTGGATGTACCACAGTTTCTCTTACCATTCACGTTTCAAAGGACATCTGGGTTTCCAGGTTTGGCCTATTATGAATAAAGGTGCTATGAAAATTCAGGTACAGGTTTTTGTGCGAATGGATGTTCTCACTTCTCTGGGGGAAAAGGCCGAGAGTGCAATTGCTAGGTCACAGGGTAACTGCATGTTTAGTTTTTCGAATAACTCCAAAGCTGTTTTCCAGAATGGTTGTACCATTTTATATTCGCACCAGCAATGTAAGAGTGATCCAGTTTCTCCACAACCTTGCCAACACTTGGTGTCATCACTATTTTTTATTTTAATCATTCTGATAGGCGTGTAGTGATATCTCTTTGTGGTTTTAACTTGCACTTCCCTAATGGCTAATGATGTTGAATGTCTTTTCATACCCTTATTTGTCATCTGTATATTCTCGTCAGTGAAATGTCTATTCAGGTGTTTTGTCCATTTTCTAATTTTTTTTTTACTGTAGGGCTTTGAGGTGAGGTTTTTTTTTTATCTATTCTGCGGTGAATTTTATTGAATTCATAGGGCGCATTCCTTCATGAAAAATAATTTTTAAAAAAAGTTGTACAGGCATGCTTTGTGAGACAAACCGGTGAGATGAAGCCTGCTCAGACCGGACCAGAGCAGACACCAGCCCACACCACAACCCACATGATGGTGCTTTTATTCAATACAAACAAACAGCAACAATGATAATAGGATGAGACCATAAATGCATGGAAACTTTCTGGGACTCCTGGCTAGGCTCTGACCAATCTATCATTCTTTTCTTACCAGCCAGGTAAACAACCGAGCTCATCTGCTAAGGCCAAAAATTTCAAAGCTCTTAATCCAGTTAGAAATGACTACAACTGAGGACCTTTTCTCTGGCTAGCTGGCTTCCCCAATTCAGAGTTATTAGCAGGTCAATTTCAGCATCACAGAAAGTCTCCTCCAGCTGGCTGTACCACATACTGGTGACAAGGAGAGCTTTAACGTGTTCTGTGCTCAGGCTGCTGGGCCTCCGGACAGCTTGTGTCCTTCTGTGCACCTTGGTTCTGAGCATTCTGAGACTTGGTCAGCTACAGATAAAAGGGACCTACCAGCCCGTTCAGAGGCATGTTGTTAACAAGATAATCCATCACATCATCTAAATACTCCATTTTCTGCAGCCTGCCCCTTGTGGGAAGTGAGGAGGCCATCAAACACTTCCTTAAAGGAGGCAGTATTGCAGAACCCTGAGTAGATGTCACCAGCCATCACCCCCAAGGGACTGGCCTGATCTTGGATGTTCTGCAGTAACCTTTGGACATTGGACAGCAGAGTGTGGCACGTGGTCTGCAGCTGCTGAGTCAGGTGGCGGGCAATAGCAAGAGGACGTGACTCAAAGTGCTCAGCACAGTGGGACTCATCTGTATCATCATAGCCAATGCTCTTCCACTCCACCCAGGAGAGACAGAACATATCCTGAGC